ACCAATTAATTGAATTCACTTTCTGATTAAATACATGTTAATCACGAATTCGATAATGGCACACGATGATTCACAGATTTTTCTTAATTATATTTAGTGATGATTTATAGATTTCAGATAATTACATGATTAATTGTATTAGAGAAAATATGAATATTGAAGTAGATAAAAAATGGACAAAATAAATATTCTGCTTAATTTTATTAGTTTCGTTTAATTCCATTAAAATATCAATTGAAAATACAGTAGAACCTTGCATAACGAGCGACGTTTCGCATAACGAGTGACGATGAAAAGAGAAGTCCCGGATTTCGCGTCTTCTACATCATTTTTAAAACTTGTGTACACATCTTATGTGTATTTTTGAATATGTTTCACTATACGAGTAAAAGCCGGAAATTTTGGAATGGATTAAAGTCGTTAAGCGAGGTTGCACTGTATATAAAATTTTGCTAATTTTCATATTATAAATAAATTTAATAGTAATTTTCCATTATAAAAGTTGTTTTAATGATGTAAATTTTAATTTAAAAAAATTGCGATGAATGTGACTTTTTGGTATGTTTGCCTTAATAGAAAATTTAATTTTATGGTTACAAATTGCTATAATTAACATAGATTATGAGATGATGCGGGGTGAGTAAATTTATTCAGTAATATGAGTTAAATGCGAGTGAAACCTGTGTGCTGAGGAATGGAAATCGTTTGATTTTGCTATAAGAAGATTGCGATTGCAGAGTGGAAAATAGAGAAGTTACGTAATTTCTACTTATTAGAAGGCGTCTTTAAACGCCGCACTAAGTCTGGAGTGTAATGTACGTTGTACCCTAACGATCTGTATTTCCTTGCATGAATTGCATAGATCATCATCCTAATGAGAAGCTGGTAGCAAAAACGGGCTCGTTCATTGCACCGGATTAATGAATAAGAAAATGATAAAACCTCCCACAATGGTATGGTAATCCTCCTCCTCCTCCTCCAGTCTTCGTCCTCCACATCGATGATCGTCGGCTACGAGTCTTTCTCTGCCCTCTTCCTCATCCTTGCAAGTCGAAAACCGGGGTTGTGTAATTAATTGTAAGTGGTCGTAAGTAGCTGAAATTATAAGAATCCAGAATTAATGAATTATTCATTATGGCTTTGACGTATTGCTTCGGTGTGTGTGTGTGTTCTGCACGTTCATGTCTTTCTGTACGTGTATGTGCATGGAATTTGTATGTGTGTGTGAGGTGGGGTGAGAGGGAGTAAGAAGAGGGGTGGTGGGAATGTATGAGGGGAGGGTGATTAATTTCCAACGCGTATGTCGGGATTAAAAGATCAAGTAAGCAGTCAGGGGCAGGCGCCCGCCCCGACTTTCAGGCGTCGCCTGGGCGTCTGTGCAACCGCCTCCGCCACACCTCTCCGACCCGCACCTTCCGAAACACGGGCGCCAATGCTGACACCCACAATAACACCCGAAAACTCAACCAACCCCAACTACCACCGCCGCCCCCCAAACGATCGGTGCCGACAAAAAAAAAACGGCAGACACATGCATTGCAAAAGAAGCAGGTCGAAAACGTCATGAATTGCATCGAATCTCTAGCAATATTTTCCCAAAACCAATTTCGTTAATTACTATAGATGGTAATGTTTCAATATCTTCAACAAACATTTATTTCAATTATTTATTTTTGAAAAATATACAATAAAATTTTGAGTATAATACGCACATATATTCATGCGTATTATACTCGTACAAAGTATAAGAAAAATCTGAAAAATTGCAATGTTTTCCATTAGTACATTACTTAATTGGAACAACAATTGCGTTGAAAAGAATAAAAACGTAGTATAACTTTGTAAACAGATAAGACATAACAGAAAAGTATCTACCAAGAGGATATAAATACAAATATTTAGATACGCATCAAGATGGAAGAAATCCAGTAAACATTTCTTCCTTTCAGGTTAACGTTCCGCTAATAAGAGGATGACAAACACATTTATCAGTAGAAAATAAGTTACTAGTATACAATGAAATCAATCTGGACATATGGATTGCACTTGTTGTTCATTTAGCAACATTGAAATCATGCAAATATGTCAATCAAACCTCTTATAACATTTCACGACAGCTGAAAACATGATAAATTTAAGTTCAGTTTTCAATTCTCTAAATAAATATTTGTATTTTTGTACAATTTGATATGAATTTAGAAAAAATTGATCATGGTATAGAATTGAATTGTGACAGCATTAAAGATACGTCTTATGCTGTCAAACATATTTGTTCAATCTTGTGTTAAGAAGATCTTTCAGTAGTTGAGACATTGAACTGAAAACCATGTTTTTGAAGAAATAAAGAAAACTATTCCCGTTGAGTTGTGAAACGCGCGGAGAGACCGATTAAGTACGTTTAAGTACATTATTTAAGAGGCTCCGCCGTGTTTTATGCGGTGTGCGCTCACGGAAGCTGAATAGTTGATAAGGAAGAAGGTGGAGGAGGCATGAAGAAGTCGTCCCCCTTTCGGAACGCGACTTCAAAGTAATTGCTGTTACCTCGAATTATTCACGTGGCCTTTTGATGTCGTCGTCGTCGTTCGTCTGCGACGCACAACACAAACCGCCCCCGCCCACCCTTCGGAGTCCTGATTACAGATAAGTGGAGGAGGCCGGTCCTACAAAAAAACCCCTCCACCTCCAACCTCGTAATCGGTCAGCTGCAATCTGCATACATATGTTCCCATCGTACATTATTCAGGATGTTTTCTCTTCGACGGGGAAAAAAAGAATCACGCGAACCGTAACCATCCAATGAAAAGTAATTAAAGACACGGATATTTCTGGTGGAGCGTAGAAAAATCGGAATCCGTTGTGTATACCTTTCGTTAATTAAGACGCTCAATTTTCCTAATTATCTTACAGCTTTCGACGTAATAGGTTTAATCCATTAGACTGAAATAATGCCTCAGCCCCACTCACCTGCATAAAACGCTCTCCTATTGGGTTTGTACCAATCCACTTTGATTGGTTCACCGTTTTCCACCGAAAGATTTAATTAATTTATCTACATCCAATTCCTAAAAGTTTAAGAAAAACACGAATAGTAGGAATGTATAAAACAGTCAAAATGGTGATTATATTCAATCCTTCAAAAGCCATCTCCACATTTAAAACAAAAATGTATCCATTGTTTGAAAACATCATAAAAGCTTAATACAGTTTTTGAAAATGTTCTAAATTGAATTAGATATTAGGTAAAATTATTAGATATAAGAGATTGTTTTCAGGAAAACGATGAAGGATTCTCCTTTCAAGAAAGTTCAACTATTAAAATTTGAAGTTGTATTGTTACAAGAAAGAAGTAGACGTTGTGAGAATAAATAAGCTATAGTATTGCAATTGGAAGATAATCTGAAATAGCATTTGGAATAAAGTTGAGATTAATAAAAAGAAGAACAGACAATAATTCATGTTGTCAAAAGATTATGAGCGCAACATGTAGGTCAAACATGTGCTCCAATCTGTGTGTTTCCTGTTTCTTCGAAAAGACTTAGTTCGCTTGTAAATCCCGAAGAAGGGAAGTATTTACATGCATGCACATACTACCCTGATCACCTGGTTCCGGTATATTGCTATAATCCTTGCGAGTTTCTTTCATATATTTTTTTTCACTTCTTCTTCCCTCGCGCTACCATACATATAACAATAATGTCTTGGTTTTGGCTTATAAAAGTAGCTTATAAAACTTTGATTGCCGCCGCGCCGCTATTTTCATTTATTGCATTCCACCTCGTTTCTTATTATCGCCGTTTTTATTGCGCCCTGAATTTTCACCCCGATAGATTCATATTCGCGCACCGCAGGCCTCCTCGACCAAACCCCCATTTAAATGTGATATATATATATATAGATATGTATATTCTACACCCCATGCTGAGTTATTGTCGCATAAAAGTGCAACTCTAAGTTTGATTGGTATCAGTTCGGAGTTTTCGGGATTTAATTCGGGCATTTGTGAGCCTCCACCACCGTTCTCGGTCGGTGTCCTTCTATCCTCCCGCGTTTCCGCCGCCGCCGCCAAACCGACAACTACGACCCCCTTCTGCAACTCGTTTGCATAATCGTATGTGGGTGTACCTGAGCTTTATCTCCCTCTTTCTGTGTGCGTTTATATATATATATATGTATGAATGTGTGTATATATGTATGTATGCTGTGCTTTCGGTGGAGTGGGAGGATGATGCACGCGGCGTCGCGACGCCGGCAATCCACTCTCACCATGGTCTGACGCATTTCCGGGCTCGTTTCCGCCGAGATGACAAAGGGTCCGCGCGGTCAGCGGTCAAACGACACCATTTATTCGCTCAACCTCACCCTGGACGCAGCACACCCATACATATATATGTGTGTGTGTGTATACATATACATGTTGGTGCGTTCCAGAAAAGAGAAAGAGATGTTCGTATGTCGGGGAAGTCCCTTTTAGCACTTAGGCCGACGGACGGACGCCCCAGAACTTTATTCGGTCGTTATGGGGTTGGGGAGACGTCGCTATTTTTTTTTTATGGTGGCCGCGATTTGAATCTTTTTCGGATTCTCCTCTATTGGTTTCGTCGGTGGCTGCGAAGGCGCCGCTCTTACTGGCACCAAATATATCACCGAAACTTACTCTAAGGCAGAGCAGGAAAGGTGAACTGTCTCGTTAGCGGCATAAATCACCGGGTGTGGGGATAACGGTTCGCAAAACCCCAATGCCATCATAACCCATTATTGATAATTCCTTGGATCAAAGCTTCTTGATCTCTTTTCTACAACTTCTTCAGGCACCATCTTTACCATCTATGTTACCTAAATTTTGACTTACTCAATACTGTGACAGTACTTTTAATAGTACATGATGTAATAAAAAACATAACATCTTTATCGATAAATACATTATTATATTAAAGTACTCATAACTCATTAATGACTAATCTGTTATGACTAATATATTATTTTTTTTTGATTTCAGAATTCAATCAGGCACAATTTGTCGTTGCATAACAGATTTATGCGCGTCCAGAACGAAGGCACAGGAAAATCATCATGGTGGATGATCAATCCGGATGCGAAGCCAGGAAAGTCGGTGCGAAGGAGGGCAGCGTCAATGGAGACGAGTAAATTTGAGAAGAGACGAGGCAGAGTCAAGAAGAAGGTGGAGGCTTTGAGGAACGGTCTTGCAGACGCCACGCCGAGTCCCAGCTCATCGGTGTCCGAGGGCTTGGACATGTTTCCAGACTCTCCGATTCACAGGTAAAACATCCACGATCCTTAGGCAATAGCGATAACAGTCAGATTCAGTAAGATTTTGCGTAGTTCCGGCGGTTTCCAATTGAGTCCGGACTTTAGGCCGCGCGCCTCTTCGAACACCTCCTCGTGCGGCCGTCTGTCCCCGATCCCAGCGGTCGTGGGCGTCGAGCCAGTCTGGAGTTCCCCGTCGCAATTCCAAAATTCTAATTACAGCCCAGAAATGAGCGGAAACTACTCACCGGACCAGCTCGCCGGCAACCTGGAGCAGGGCATGAAGATACAGCAAGACTACTTGGGGTGAGCTCACTACGTCTACCTACCTACGTCTCTTCTACTACCACCAACACCTCCTACTACTAGTACTAACACCTACCAGTAGCACTATGTGCCGTCTATGCTTAACAACACAACACATATTTGTTCTTGTTTCTATTTTAACAATAATAATAATAATACACGCAGCAGCTATTTAACAGATCCATGTGTGTGGGAGAATGTTTTAACTAACGCTTCTTTTTCTTCAATGTTGTACTCGTTAACTGTGGAATGGCTTTGAGTGAACTGAGTGCATGCAAGCAACTTTACTCAATCCATCGTTTCCATTTGTCTATCTGAAGGTACATCAATGGACAGCAGCCTCCTCAGCAACAACAGCAGCAGCAACAACAGCAGCAGCAGCAGCAACCACCACCGCCGCCACCACCATACACTGCTCCGTACGAGAATTTCTGTCAGCACTCGATACACGGCTCATCCCCCTACGGTCACAATTGCGGAATTCACCGCCTACAATCCTGCGGTTGCTTAAACCTCCAATGCAAAGTCGAGGTATGTCTGAAATTAAAACAAATCAAGACCCCAAAATAAGTTTTTCATTGCCAATTGTCATTAACTTCTGGATATGTTGACTTTTGACCACTTTCGATCTGATTTGTTATTGTTGTTGCAGCGTATGTCGCCAACGAGTATGTCTCCATCGTATCCACAATCGGAACCATCTCCGGATTCTCTGAACAGTCAATACAACATAATGAGGGGGAGCATCCAAAGACCGCCGTCCAGTAGTCCACCGCTGACGCCTCAGTCGATGACCCATGGGATGCCGTCGACGATGATGGGACAGCTGATGAACACCCTGAACAGCGGCGCCCTGGACGATCTCAACATCGAGTCGTTGCAAGGCGGTTTCGACTGCAACGTAGAGGAGGTCATCAAGCACGAGCTGAGCGTGGATGGAAACTTGGACTTCAACTTCAGCCATCAGAACCTGAACGCTCAGCAGGAGGCAGCAGTGAACAACGCACAATCCGCACCGCCCCCGGCCTACTCGGCCACAGTCACAACGCCGTCCTGGGTTCATTAACGTAGGAAACATTTATTAATATATATATAAAAAAGGTAATTATCTTTCATACACGTATATATGTATATTATATATATATATATCTCTTTGTTTATATTTTTATTTCGCGACGATTGCTTCAGAGAAATTCTTTTGCTAGGGTGAGATTTTATAATGGGTCACGGAGAATGGCGGAAGCCCGACCGTCTGTTAGATTGTACTGTGCTTTAGTTTTTTTTTCCTTGTTTTATTATTATTTAAAGTTGTTTCTTCTCTTGAATCAATTGTCGCTCTTAGTTAACAATAAACGTTATTACGATAATTTACTTATTTTTATTATGATCAAAACATACTTTATTTTTAAATGCATTTTTATCACAAATTAGTCAAAATTATAACATCATTTTATATATCTATAGTTCAGAAAGCAAATTCGTAAATGCGAAATATCTTTCAGATCAAATGTAAATAATATTCGGGTAGTGTAAGTAAATTAAATCAACTTGGTAATTCTAAGATTACCTCAGAAATTTCTAACTTATTGCAGTTGTATATAATCAAGTTTTTAAATTATAAATGTAAGTGCGATTCGTATGGAAATGCTGCGGTTATTTTCTTTTAATCAGCTGATACAAATCGGGAAGATGAAAAGAATTGGTGGTTTGTTGGAGTTTGATGGCATCGAGAAGAAGAGGGGTCGCGTGAGGAAAGAAATTCCAATAAGCGAAGTTTAAAGAAGTGGGTGGCGGTGGGTGGCAATAAAGAAATTCGCGCGCGTAACTTTCCCGTTGAGTCCGCTCGGAGGTTACGGCATGTCCTCCTCTCCTTCCTAGCTCGCAGACGACTACTCTCTGGGCTTGGTAATCAAATTTTCTATCTGGAGAAAATTGAATATAAAATTTAAAGAGGCTGACAATTTCGGGAGAACCCGCGTGATAAGTTGACAAGTACCCGGTCGCAGGGGGTGGCGCCGCCTATCGGAGAGTTCGTTGGGGGTGGTGGCGGCGGCGGCGGCGACGGCCGGAGTCGCATAATTGAGCGGTAAAATGTGTGCTGGCATTTAAGTAACACGCGTGCCGGGGGAATTATTAAAATTTGACGGTCGCCACCTCCGTGTCGGCGCGCCGCCAACTCAAACTCACTCTCCGTCTCTCTCTCTCACACATACACATCACAATCTACATGCATATACATAGATTATACAGATACGCACAGACAGAGGCAACGACGAAATATCGTAATCGGAGAGACGGGGGCAGCGATGATGAATGCGCCTCCACCCCCCATTCCACCGCCGCCGCCGATTTGTTTAATGCATATCTAACCGAGATTAATGTGGCGAGGGTTTCTCTTCGGTCGGGGATCCTCCACTACTACTTCTCTTTTTTTTTATTCCATTCTTCCACAACTACCGAACCCTTCGACCGTTCGAGAAGGGCGCACACGAAATTATCATATAAATATTTTCGGGGGATTCCCCCTCACCCGGCGTTAGCAACACTTGACAACTTCGCGAAACTGCTTCAATTACTTCGCATCACCCACAAACCTCCCCCATTCACTGATCAACTTATACACCGGATTTGCTCTCGCTCAATCCAATTCCGTCGGCTGTTTTAAATGCAAGCATTTAACGTGATAATCATATTTATATTATCATATTTTACTTTACTAAATTCAGAGAACTATTTAATATTTAAAGATGTTTTCATCTCTCATTTTCTTAGAATCAATTCAATAAAAATGAACTAATCAGAGAAATACAATAATTACAGTTTTACATACATTTATGCTAATAACAAATCATATTTTTGTTATGCAACATTTGAAATTGATTACGATTATGTTCGTTGCTTTCTACAAAGCAGAGGACGAAAGGAAGAAAAAGAGGGAACGAGAAAGAAAACTGAACTGCAAATTGAAAAAGGGGGATATATGGAGAAAGGCTAACGAGAAGAAGTGGATGAAGAGTCCTTAAAAAGATACCGAGCAAATGGACTGAAAAATATATGTATGAAATGTCATGCAAAAATGTTTCTCTGAATATTTTCCTTGGGACGTTAAAAAAATGTATATACATCTATACGAAATATGATAAAGAATCTGCGGTCACGATGTATGTCACAAGTAGCATTACGAATTTACCTCTCAGGTGAAACAAAGGATATCCGTTTTTGTTTTTTTTAATAAAAAAAAAATTGGCGTTTAGTGGATTATTTCATGATTGGATTTAGTGTTTGTTTCTACTATAGTATTTAATATTTGATATAGTAGCAATTCCAAAACAATCAAAAACCACAATAATTACGCTGTATATTTCCCAATTAAGGTTTTTAATTAGTTACTTTACATATAATTTTTCGCAATGATTTGCTGAAATGATGAATTGTACTTTTTAAGTTATTAGAACAGTGTGTACGCACCTTTATAATATTGTAAGTTAATTGGAAAGAGTATATTGTAAAAAGTCAGTCAGTTGAAGTTCTAAAATTTACAGTTGTTTTATCAGGAATATTGATGAAGATTTATCCTGTAGTTAATGGAGAGCCGGTAAATCCGTGCGACGGGGACTTTGAAAGAAGAAAAAAAGAGACAGAGAGAGAGAGTGGATGCAGATTACGTGTCTTTCGTGGAAAACAACGTGGCACATGGCGTTAATTGAAATTATGTAGCTCAAAGTGCGGTGCTCAGACTGTTGTGTAACGAAATGACGGAACGGTATCGGATTCTAACGACATCTACGGGGAATTTATCGGGCGCGCCAAATAATTGATTGCATTATGCTTCAGCATCGGAGTGGAGGAGAGCCCTGCTTCTTCTTTTTTTTTTCAATCCCGGTTCGGATCGTGCGGCTGATTGGGGACAATTCCGGTGTGCAAAACGAACAAAAAAAAATGTGGAAGAAGTTGAAGGCTGCTGCTGTTCGCCTTTTGCCTCCGCCGCATCCCTTTTATGCAAGTTGCTTGTTAGTGCAACGAAGCCTCGTTTCGCATCGCATCGCATAGTCGGAACCAACTAAACAACCACCCCACAACACATACACCTGCGCTTTTCTGTTGCACGCGTTTTATCAACTTTCGTAATTGCCGTTACACGCGCGTTGCATCCGAATGCAACAAGTATTTTTGTTGCGATGTGGACATACGGCATTGTTTGTATTGCCGCTGCCGCCGCCGCCTCCCTTGACGTCCCTCCACTTTACAAACCGCAGCATATAAACACACACACTCTCTTTGTTCAACAACTTGTTACACTTCCGATATAAACAAGTTGATAAATTAGGGCCGCGCCGACGAACGGGCAAAAATAGATAAACTGGGGGGGTTGTTGCAACCAACGGTTACATCGAGGGAGAGAGAGAGAAAGAGAGTTTGGACACTGAAGCAGTTGCCAAATGAAAATTTACAACTTCCTCCCAGCATGCGAATTATTGTTTTTAAATTACTCTTCTGCATGAAAAAAAAAATACATCTCTTTCTCAAATTTAATTTCATTTAACATTGAATAAGCGACGAACTACAATGATTTTATAGATTACAAGAAGTGCATATGTGTTAAATCATACAATTATGATGAATACAAAAGTAGATTTTACTAGTAACTAGTATATTTCATTAATAGCAATGAAATAACCATCAGTTCCTCAAGGTTCCTTATTGAATCCTTTTTAACAAATATACATTTTCGTTTCGTATTTAAACTAGTAGTTCAAACCTTTCTTAATAATACTAAAAACCTTATGTTCAAGTATTTAAGATTATTTTTTTAACATATTTTGTGAAATTATTATTGATTTAACACTAATAGTGCTTTACAGCATTAAATATAGATTTTGTTTATGTATATTTTTAATACAAATTTTTTTGTTGGAAAACCAAAATTTCAATACTTAAGATTTTCTAAACATTTTGTATTTTCGATTTTTAGCAAATTATTTCTTAATTTTTCAATTCTTACTTTCTTTTGTCGTAGTCATAATAATGTTTGCTTTTTTATATAAAAAAAATTAATTTGTTTAAAAAAATTTATTCTAATATAAATTTTCATTAACTAAGTAATAATGAAATTGAAACCGAAATGTGAAGTATTCTATAAAATTCTATACTGAAGCTAAATCAATAATTCAAATTTTGTTCAATTCTCAGATTTTCATTAATTTGTTTTGTTTAAATTGAAATAAATGAAGAATATAATTCTATGATAATCTGGACAAATCCTGTAAAAAGAGATATTTTTTTTTATAAATTTAAATCGAAATGTAAACTTCTATTCTATGAAATTCTATACTGAAACTAAATCATAAATTCAAATTTTGATCAATTCTCAGATTTTCATGTTTTTTGAAAATTGAATAAAATGAAAACTTTAATCCTATGTGATCCTAGATTGATGTTAATTCTGTAAAAATTCTCAGATTTTCATGAATTTGTTTCCTTTAAATTGAAACCGAAAAGTGAACTTATATTCTATGAAAATTTGAAGCTAAATCATTAATTAAAATTTTAATCATTTCTCAAATTTTCCTAAATTTATTTTTTGAAAATTGAATAAAATGAAGAATATAATTCTATGAGAATCTGGACTGAGGCAAATTCTGTAAAAAGAGATATTTTTTTATAAATTGAAACCGAAGTGTAAACTTTTATGAAATTATATACTGAAGCTAAATCAATAATTCAAATTTTGATCAATTCTCAGATTTTCATATTTTTCTTTTTTGAAAATTGAATAAAATGAAAAATTTTATGAACTGAGGATAATTCTGTAAATGGAGATATTTTTTCTTTAAATTGAAACCGAAATGTGAACTTCTATTCTATGAAATTCTGTACTGAATCTAAATAATTAATTACCATTGATTCGCTCTTGATTACAATCTTGTGTTATGTTTTAAACGCAACAATATGCAATCTTATCGAGCCGGACATAATTGAACGCCGTTTACATACTAATTTGAGAGCGATCTCGCATGTAATTTCCATTAAATGCCATCGCTTCTCCTTCAACCGACTCTAATGAAGATAAGCGTTTCGCCGCTCGGCGTTTAGCGTTTTCC